AGACAGAGATGCTACTTAATTTTCAAGTGATAATAATACCTTTGAGCCTAGCTATGCTGATGAAGAAAACATCCTTATTTATCTGAATTGCGAGTGCTTAAACCACTTCTCACTTAAGTCACTCTTACAAATTTGGAATTCTGAGGATCTCATTTTGGCAGATTTGTGGGCTTTGGATACCAGGGCCTGGAGGGGTCAAACTTAGAACAAAGTATGTGTGTATTTTATTTTTAACACAGGTCCACAGCTTTGCGCTACTCATGCATAGTTTCTAAATTTCGGAGTCGGTTAACTGCAGTTGCAGAATCAGACTGTTTTCTTCCCTAAGGTGGACCAAAAACACCTTTTGAATGCCAAAACGATTCATGTTTTGGATGTGCGTATTGAATAACCTTTATGCATTTCTGGTCGTGCAATTCAACGCGCAATGTTCAGAAGATTTTTTTATCATGTTTGTACTTTAGAATTCGTAACAAAACTACACTTAGTTATCACGGTTTCTTGCTCCACGATGCGTTATCACTTTCTACCACTTGTTAACAGTCAGCTTTATTCCATTTTGAAAGGAGTTTTAACGCAAAAGGACAAATAACTACTCACCGAGTTTTATCTTCTCAAAACATTTGTCGATAACTACACATTAGGGACACAGACTTTCTGAGTTGTGCAACAGTTAAGTCTCACTTGTCTCGGTATTTACCTTATAACCCGTAAATCGGTTAACTTCTCCTATTATTCCATACGACAGAATATCAAAGGTTGTGCTTGAGAAGCATGACAAGAAGAAAATCAAAAGTAAAATTGAAAAGCACTGCGAACACTCAAGGGGGAAAGGTGGTTTGAGCAAGCAAAAGCAAATTACCCTTTTTTGCTCGAGTCCACCTCCATCCATCCGAGGTTGCAGCCGAATCGTACGAGCTGGGAATCAAATAATTCGTTTTATGTGGGCCACGTATCTGTGTTTCACCACCCTCTTCCTCCACATTTCCATTATGAAGTTGGTGTATGGGTATATGGAGTATGCGGTGAATATTCAAACCTACAACGATGTGGATGCATTAATGGCC